GAGGGACCTGTGGCCATGCGGAATTCCAATTAAATGTTAGCTTTATGGATAGCTGTTGAGATTGATAAATTGGCCTTGTTAATATTTTTAAGAAAACACCGTAATCAGATATTTATGAGCAATCTCCCAATTTTTTCAATGTTCACAACTAATTCAAAAAAAAATTTATAGGCCAAATAAATATGCTTGTCGGCTGACTCAGCCAGAGGCTCCCGATTTGCAGCCTCTGATGTAAAGACTTCATTTCAAATTTGCTACATCTCTATTTTTTAAGGTTAAAAAATTTCACCTTTTATTTTTTTAAAAAATCATCTTTACAGAGAAGTTTGGAGAAGAATACAGTGAACTCCCATCTCCCTTTCACTTGGATTCAATCTTATTCATCTTGATATCTCTGGATCCCAGTGCACAGAAGGCACTGAAATGTTGGGGAGTCACCCAACGAATACCCCAAGGAAAAGTAAGCAAAACAGAGTGTGCCAAGTTCCTGAGAGCTAACGCGACAGAACAGAATGAATGCTGAGAAACGGCAAGAGAAATGAATCACAGAGAAGGATGGACGGAAAACAGAACTGACACAGAGACTACGTGGACCACACTTTTATTTTGCCCTCTGCACACTTGCTTTGTTTTATTTTATTATTTTTTGCTTGGTTTATTTTAAGTAGGAAGAGAAACAGACAGATCACCAGGAGTGCAGGTAAACACCACACAAGAAGAGAAAGATCAGATACGCTGACAGTGTACTTTTAGCAAAATCTTACTAGCTCAACTGTCACCCGTTTCGCAGTTTGGGATTATTTAGACAAGTGAGTCTAAATTTCATCTTGGCATTATTAATTCTTTGAGAAAGTTTGCTAAGCAAATGAATAGTATAAACAGGGGAAATGTTGAATATTTGCTCTGGGGGGGGGCAAAAGCAAATGAACAGCTTTAAAATCCTTTCTAATTATCTCACTGTGCTGAACTTTTGTCTGATTATTATGTTCCTGGAAAACTGAGTAGAATTTTTTTTTCTAAGTCATCTCATATTTTTAAAGCACTGGAGGAAATTCGACTTTAACATACAGGTGAACATTTTCATAGGCAGAAGACGTACACGTTGCTAATTTACTTTCATGTAAATAAACAATGTCAAACATTGGGTTTTCTTTTAAACAGAGTGAGCTAATTGCAAAGATTATTATTTGCTAGAGAGCTTCACCAGATTCCTTCCTCCCTCTTCTGTCAGCAGTGTGGAAGGAGACTGCACATTTGCAGGTAATGACACCATTTAGCTACCATATAGGAGTGCTTTTCATACGCCAGACTTGGTGTTAAGTGCATTCATGCAGTGTCTCATTGAAGCCACAATAAGAGATTCAATGGACCGCCAAACGAAACAAGGTATGCTTCATCATCATCTCCACTTTGTTGGCAGGAAAACTGAGCCTCAGAGAGGTCAGAGTACACAGCTGAGATTCAAATCTGGGGCTATCTGGCCCGCAAAACCTATGAGCATTACACTATGCTGCATCACAGAGCCAGGTGGAACCTGCCGAAAGTCAAAACCAATAGGCCGGAAGAAAATGTTTTGAAAAGCTATGGTGATTAGGACATGCAGAAGAAATCAAACTGCAATCCAGTTTGGGGATCCTCAGCAGATATTTAAGCTTTCGTGAGTTTAAGAAGTAAACATCTTTCCAATAAGGCTGGGCTTGGCTTATCTAGTTGGCTAGAATCACAGTTCATCAAGGTATGCTTCACTTTACCCAATAAATATGTGCCTATAAAAATGTGTATAAAATGAAGCTTCAAAAATTGCAATGGAAAAGAGACTCTTTGAATGCCAAATCTAATCATAGGGCAAACAGTTTCTTAAAAAGAAGAAATGTTTCCTTTTTTGTAGCCAATCTGAAAATGGATAGGTTCCTCCAGTGGGCCGTAATAATACTCTAGGATCACTGAGATGATGACAATTAGAAGTGACCAAGCAAACTTCTTGAAAATGGTCTACAGCAATATTACTCAAAGTATGTTCCACAGGTCCTGGGGGGAAGAGGGGTTCCCAAGGACTATTAATATCTTCATCATAATGCTATGACTTTTTCACTGTGTTGGTATTTGCACTGATGATGCAAAAGCATCAGTATATAAAACTGCTGATAGCCTGAATGGCTACAAGGCAGTGGCACCAAACTGTATCAACAGTCACTATATTCTTTAGTGTCATGAACTGACAGCAAAACAAACAAGCAAACATAAAAACATTTTCACTAAAGAATGTCCTGATTGGGGAGGAAGGGTATATATAGCCCAGTGGTAGAGCACATGCTTGGCATGCACGAGGTGCTGGGTTCAATTCCCAGTACCTCCGTTAAAAGTAAATAAATAAATAAACCTAATTACCACCCCACACAAAAGAATGTCCTGATGAAAATAGTAAAATTTAATTTTATTAAACCTGAACCCATGAGTACACATCTTTTTAACATTCTGTGTGAAACAAAAATCTGAAATACACCTAAAGCACTTCTGCTATAAGCCAAAGTACAACAGTTGATCCTAGAAAACACTTGTGAGATTAAGCTGCCAGCTGAACTGGCCACACACTGTATCTGATGTCATTTTTATTTGAATGAACAACTAATAGACTTGAATAAACAACTAATAACCATAGTTTTTCAGACTCGAGTATCTGACAGACATTTTCTTAAATACAAAAGAAGTAAGCCCATCACTTAAGGGAAAATAACTGACAGTATTTGTTGCCAAAGATAAAATTCAAACTTTCAAGTGAAGACAAGTAGGAAACTTGTTTCCACTACTTTGAGTTTAATAGCTTCCCAATACTTAAAACTCTTTTTAAAAAAGATAGGCAGTGATACTAGTGAATGTGATTTTTTTGATATTGTGTAATAACATGCCATTTAATATCATCGTTCCAATGTCAACATTTAGAAGATTTGCATAACTCAGTGAACTAACAGTTTCCAAATGACCAATGCCTAATGTTATGAAATCATACATGGGTAAAGTATCCAATCAAAGGGCAAGATAGACCAATGGGTTTTAATGTAATACAAAAGTTCACCAATACGATTTCAGATGCCACATTGTGACTAGCCTTCGAGAAATTACCACTTGCTAAGTTTTGAAATAGTATCAAAGAAGAATGTCTACAGTTATCTGAAAAGGCAATTAAAATACTCCCTGTTCCAAATATGTATCTGAGTGAGGGCCCATTTTCTTCAAAGACATCAGCCAAAAGAACACAGCAGTTTGGTTGCTGAAGCAGAGGCAAGTCTAGCTATTTCCTATTAAACCAGCTATTGAAGAGATTTTAGAAAATGTAAAACAATACCACTCTTCCTGTAAACTTTTGGGGGGAGGGGGTTATAGCCGTTTTTAAATTAGAAGTAGTATTTATGTTCAGAAGTAATGCACTTATTGTTATTTTTAAATGAATTGATATATGAGAGCACTGAATCCTAACCACTAGACCACCAGGGAGTGTCTAAATGAATTGATATATGATAAATAAATGTTTTCAGATTTTCTCAGCTCTAATTTCTGATACAGTAAATATCATATCATAGATATAATACACACAAACAAAGCTCTTTTGAGGTAAGAGCATAAAGGCTCCTGAGACCAAAAAGATTTGAGCACTTTGCTTTATAGCAACAGTATATGGACCTTTTCACTGGGCAAACTGGTGAGTGACATTTTACAGTACCTCTGAAGTACAAAGGGCAAAGATGCCTTTTAAGCACATAACAGATGGCTCAATTAAAAAATTTTGTTTCCACACTGTGTTAAGGAAATATCACAAAGGAAGAAATCCCCAGAAGTGAGGGACAGAGATACTTATAAAGGGAAAAATGATGTGGATTCTAGCAGACTGTACCACTCTCTCTAGACTTTAGTCTTCCCATCTATAAAGTGAGATATCAGAGTAGCCTATTTTTAGACTGCTTCCATTGTTGATTCTGTGATTCTTATCAGGGATCCCTAAATGATGGCCCAAAGGCTGCATTTGGCCTTCAGACTGATTGACTGTCACGGCATTTTGAGAAGTGCCCCAGGACAATAATTGGTTGGGGCTGAGTGAGAAGTTTCTCTTTCAGAAAATAAATTGATTTTCAGTCACAGCCGAATCCAGCCTACTAGACTTGCCCCTGCAAATATCTGCATTTGCAACTACTGGAATGAAGGGATTCTAAAATTCCTTCCAAATCTCAAACTCCATAATTCAGCTGCAGAGACAGTGTTAGGGTTCCTTTCTCACTCTGCCACTTGATGATTGTTTGATTTGGAGCAAGTTACTTAACTCCTCTGAACCTCAGTTTTCTCATTCCTAATGGAGTAACACTGACCTCAAAGGGCTGTTAGGAAGGTTAGCAAGTTGCTTGACAGCACTTACAGAGTTCCTGGCACTGAACATCATCATTAACATCAAAGCACAGTGGGGAGGGTATAGCCAGCTCAGTGGTAGAGTTCAGGCCTAGCATGCAGGAGGTCCTGGGTTCAATTCCCCAGTGCCTCCACTTTAAAAATAAACAAATAAACCTAACTGCCTCCCCCCCAAAATAAATAAACTTCAAAGCACAGAAAGAGAGTATTCCCTTGTCTCCCTCCGCTCCCCTTACCAAGTCCCATTTCCTAGTAGCTGATGACTGCACTCCCCACGATGACGCTTACTCCCATATCCCACAGTTCCACATCCCAGGACACACAAGACCCTCCTCAGATCTCTATTTCTCTTTGCCACCCTAAACCCCTTCACTGAGCCCCCGGCCAGTACTAGGTTCCAACCCGACCACAGGCAGCACCAAATCGCTGACCACTCCCCCCAGCTATCCCGGACCATTAAGGCTCCCTTTCCCTCAGACCGCAGACCACCTTGGATTAGGCAATGGTAATCCAGGGGTCTGTGGCCTAGGATTCTGCCCGGAGGGCCCTCAGGAAGGATGGGAGAATAACTGCCCGACTTCCCAGAGGGGCCCACGGACACTCACCGTCCATCCCTAGAGGCGGCGGTTCCGGGTGGTGGAACCGGAAGCGGACTGTACACTGTTTGCAGTTCCCCTGGTTACTGCGGGATTCCGGACCAATGGCGGTGGACCTCCGCGGAATGAGCCCTCCCCCAAAGGGAGTGACATCAAGCGGGTGCTCTGGAACGCCTCCTCGGAGCATCAGGTTCGCCCCGCCTCCCAAGCGGCCAGTCGTTGTGCGCAGGCGCGCTGGACAAGGGCCTTTGGCGGCGTGTGCGCAGGCGCCCCGGGTGCTGCCAACTGAAGTAGCAATGGACGCACTGGAGTCGTTGTTGGACGAGGTGGCCCTGGAGGGGCTGGATGGCCTGTGTCTACCCGCGCTTTGGAGTCGTCTGGAGACGCGAGTGCCGCCCTTCCCGCTGCCTTTGGAACCCTACACGCAGGAATTTCTGTGGCGGGCCCTTGCCACGCACCCGGGCATCAGCTTCTATGAGGAGCCCCGGGAGCGACCTGATCTCCAGCTCCAGGACCGGTCAGCGGCCTGGCCCTGCGGGAGGGCGGGCGGGGGTGCAGAGCCCTGGGCCTGATGGAGCTGGGAGGGGGCCAGGTTCTCACGGAGTGGGGAGAAAGGAGTGAAGCGGAAGGAAGACCCGGAGTCTGATGGGATCGCCGAGTAAGGCAGGGCCCAGGCATCTGATTTGGCGGGGAGGGTCGTCGTCTGATGCAGTCGGAGGTTATCTGGTGATGTCCCATTATGTTCCTGTGTGTTTGGGGTGGTGCTGAACAGGACTGGGAGGATATTCTTTAGGTTTCAAAGAATATTTCCTCTAAAGTGGAGCATAGGATTGGAGCGGGAAGGCAGTTCAAATCAAGACTGGAGACAGTTAAGTTCAGCAGACCTTTATGGAGCATTCATTCAGTGCTGGAATGGAGAGCTTAAGGCAGCTGGAGACCTGCACGGCAGCAAGCTTGGCAATAATAATAGCTAACCTTTATTTAGTGCCTCTTAATGGCCTCGTACTATTCTAAGATCCTGTTCTGGGAGCTTCAGGAGGTTGAACCCGCTTCATTTTGACAGTGAGCCTATGAGAAAGCTGCTATTATCCTTCCCATTTTTTAGAGGAAGAAATTGAGTGATGGAGAGAGATTAAGTAACCTGTCCAAAGTTATGGAGATTGTAAGTGACTGCGTGTTGATTTGAACCCAGGTCATCTGTCTCCCAAGACTTCTCTGTGAGGGTTGGGAGAGGTTCCCAGAGGTAACACTGTCTCAAATAAGACTTAAAGGTTGGATTTAGGCGGACAGTTGGCAGAGTATTCTGGACAGAGAATATAGCAAATGTGAAAGCCTAAAGAAATAAGTGAAGTTTGGTTGAAGTGTAGAACTGGAGGTAGTGAATGAGGCATAATCGTTGACATTTACCAATATGCTTATTATAAGTAGGGACCATTCTAAGATCTTTACATATAGCCAGTTATTTAATTTTTACAACAACCTTAGAAGCTCGATATTCTTATCCCCATTTTCCTAAAGAGAAAATTGAGGCACAGAGATGTTAAATGACTTGTTCAGTGTCATAAACTAGCAAGGGGAGAACCCAGAACTTGAATCCAGGAAGTCTGGGTTCAGAATCCACTCTGCCCTCAACAAAATTAGACTAAATTGGTCTTTTAATCCACTTACAGCCTAAGCCAGTGAAGGGAGGGTCAGACTAGGGGCAAAGCATTAAGTTGAGAGATCTGTAATAATTGAGTCATGAATGAACAGTCGTGGTGTGGCTTACCATGGTCTCATGGGTGTGAGGATGAGGAGGAGAAGCCAATGGAATCAAGACCTGAGACAAGAGGAGAATCAAGAGGATTTGCTGACTGATTGGATGTGGGGTGTAAGGAAAGGTGGGGATGGAGGATGATGCCCCAGTTCCTGATGCTTGGGCACTTGAGTGAGAACACAGAAAAGCAGCACAGTGGCTGAGTCTGAGGATAGGTGGTGTTGGATGTACTTTGAGACCCACTGAATTCTAGGTTCCTTTGGGTTATCCAAGTGGAGATTCTGTTCAGGAAACATCTGGCTTCATGGGAACAAAATCAGGCAGGAGGGAGGGACTGAGCTGGACATGTGGAGTCATCCTGGGTGGTTGATAATTGAAGCTGTTGGCTGGGACCATCCCTGGGAGAGAATGTAGTGTGATTGGAAGCCTTAAGACATGGCCCTGGGGTGCACGGACATTTCAAGGCTAGATGAAGGACCAGGAGCCTTCAAAAGAAGCCTGGAAGTATGTGGCTGGAGAGGTAGAGGACAGCAGCCCAGAATGGTGTACTGGAAGCTGGGGAAGATGTGATTTGAGAATGGAGGGTTAAGCAGTGCAGAGGTCACAGAGAGGGCAAGGAAGAAAAGGATGGACAAGTGTATATGGGATTTAGCCTCAGCCAGACAAGTACAAGATGTGAGCAGGATTTCCAAGGAAAACTTGACAAACGGGGCTGACTGAATAAAAGAAGAAACACAACTCAAAGATGTCTCCATGGTGTTGATAAGCAGCAACTGGGAGAAGGTGGTACCCAGGAGGGGAAGGAGGGGCTTCATTGGAGGTGGGAAGTGGCAGTCATAACTTTGATCTTTTGAACGCATCAAATTTAAGATGTAGATAGCTGAAGACAAGATTAGCGTTTGGAGGGAAAAAAACAAGACTGAGGATTTGATGGTGAGAAGTGTTAACATGCAAGTGATAACTGAAACCGTAAAAATGGATGAAAGTCCTGGAGGGATAGTTAAAGAGATGGAAAGGTGACGTCTCCAAGTAGGGAAGCCCTGAGTCATTAAGTCCAACCTTGATGGTTTGGAGAATACGAGACTAGATCTGGTTGGAATACAAAAGGCCATGACTTGGGCCAGGGAGGTGGTTCTGGTTCCAGGATTCAGCCTCTGGGATGGATTTGGAGGCTCCTGGAAAGGTCTGTGTTGTTGGGGACAGAGAGGCAGGAACACTGCTTGTCAGGACAATCTGCATTTGCAAGGCAGGAAGCCTGGTGATCTCCAACCTCTGCCAGAGGATGCCAGAAGAATATGCCGAACATGTATTATTTCTGAGGCTGAGTTCTGGTCTGCTATTTCTGCTTTTCCCCTTAGGTATGAAGAAATTGATTTGGAAACTGGAATTTTGGAGTCCAGGAGGGACCCGGTCCCTCTGGAGGACGTCTACCCCATTCATATGATCTTAGAGAATAAAGATGGCATCCAGGGCTCATGCCGGTACTTTAAGGAGAGGAAAAACATCACCAATGACATCAGGACCAAGACGTTACAGCCCCGCTGTACGATGGTGGAAGCCTTTGGCAGGTAACTGGCTTGCACTGTTGGGAACTCATGGGCGTCTCTCTGCTTTAAGTCAGTTGTGCAGAGTGTCAGGACTGGCGCACATCCTGGTGTCCATCAGAGCCCGTTGGCCCTGCCCCAAGCCAGTCCTCTGTCTTCATCAGTCCGTCTCTGTCAGGGCTCATTTTGCTCTGAGGGAGCCTTTCTTTCTCTTCCCTTTGTGTCCAGAGGCCTGGCACGGTGGGGCAGAGCAGGCAGCTGCCATCTGGATGGGTGCCTCTTGTCCTGTCCAGTCTGGGTCCCAGTTTCTCAGAGTGTCCCAAGCCCCTCTCCCAATTCCCACTGCCCCTCCTACTTTCTAGAACAGGAAGAAGCTTCCGGGTGAACTATTCTACTTTCCACCTTCCTCAACTTGCAGACTCGCCCCCGTTTCTCTCCCCGTCCCTCACCCCAGAGGAGACAGGCACCTGGCCCTGTCTCGGGCCGTGACCCGGATGCTCCTCTCCGTCCATTCCTCCTGGTACCCCGTGCTCTGTGCTCCCTCCATCAGTGGGCTCGTCTTCTCCTTTACCCTCAACCTGTGTGCGTAGACCGGTGCTTTGGCCTCAGCCCATCACTGTGACCCGCCCATCTTCAAACAAGCCCTTCTCTTGACCTTGGAGCGCCTGTAAGTCTGGCTCTGTGGCTGCAGCCGTACTTCTCAGAAGAGCTACACTCGCTCTTTCTGCCCCTCCACCTCCACTCCACTCCTCTGCCCACTGCAGTCCTGGTTCCTGTCCTCATCACTTCACCAAAATCTGGTCCTGTAAGGTCCTTATCACCAAGCCCCTGGGTATTTTTAGGCCCTTCCCCTCCTTGCCTCTCTGCCCCAGTAGGGACTTAGGATTTTGCCCCCATGGCTTCCCGCCCTGTTCTCCATCTGATCCTTACCAGCTCCTTTGTGGACTCCCAGCTTCCTTCCACTCCTTAAATGCTGGCGGCTCCCCAGGGCTCTGTCTTGTCCCCAGATCTCCTTCCTCCCTAGTGCTGTGAATGATGCTTCAGTAACCGGCCCCTCTTATTCGGTGTGCCCAGAAGTTGGAGCATCACTGTCCCTCACCCCAAACCTGCCTTGTCTTCCTTTTCTTTCCTCTGTGTTTTCTTTATTCTGGTCAGAACTATTCCCATGCACCTGAATGTACAACCTGTAAACTTGGGGCTCTTCCTGGGCCCCTTCTTCTCCTGACTACTACGTTCAATTGGCCACCAAGTCCTGTGGCCTCTACCTTCTAACTTTTTCCTCAAACCCTCTTTGGCCTCAAATTAACACAGCAGTCTCCTGCCTCCCTTCCTGCCATCTCTCTTCTTTCTGTACTGCATGGAGGGTTTTTTCCTAAGATGAAATTATGGTGGTTTCAGACTTTATTTAGCCAGCCTGATCTTTTGTTGTGTTCATTGCTAATACTTATAAATCTGGAATTCTAGCTTCTCTTTGGATATCACCTGGTCTAGCTGCACTGGGGCTGAATTTGTGCTTGGTGAGGTAGGCCAGAGCCATGAAACATGTCCCGCCCAGATCCCCACACCCTGCAACGGCCGGCCCTGCTGACTGGCCCATCGGGCTCTTTGGAACCCAACCTCTGTGTCCCAGTTGTCTGACCCAGGCCCCCATCATGCCCCGTTTTTCACCGTGCTTCAGCCCGAACACTCCGGGCTCGTTTCTGTCTCAGGGCTGCGGCCCGTGCTGTTCCTCCCACCTCAGGTCTTGACATCAACACCTCCTTCTCTTCAGCCTTCAGCTCAGCTCCTCGGAAAGTGTCCCCCGTGGCCCAGACGTCATCATAT